AATGTGGGACCTCAGGCACAGTTCTCACATGTATTTGTTCCTGCACTAAATGTTACATGATCCCCCCCACTCTGGAGGGTTGTCAGGGGATCCTCCAGGAACCCTCAGGGGTGTTGGGGTTAATAAGGGAAGGAAGGAAGGTGTCTGTGGGTGCAAATAGCCCTGACACAGGGGAAAAAAAAGCTGCTGCTGCTTTTGTTAAAGCCCTTCCCCAGCAGCCACCATCAGTGTGCCCTGCCATGGGGTAGCCCAGCTGCCTGGCTGATGTGGAGATACCCAGCCTGGAGACCTGCCTGGTCAGGAGGGCTGTGAGGTTCACCCTCTTGGGTTTGAGAACATCAAAACCTCAGAGACTGTGGGCAACACTGCTAGGCACTGCAGTCACTGTAGTTTCTGCACCCTAAAACCCTCTGGATGCAGTACACCCCTATAATCAAGCTTTTAGAGAGTTTTCAGTTAGTGCCAGCAGGATCAGGATTATGTGCAACAACCTCTGAATAGAAAAACCTGGCAACTAAAGACTTAATTTGAATGACTGTGGGCTTTGAGATTGTTATCTCTGAGGACTGTGTTCTATTTTTTAGGTTCACCTTGCATGACTGGAAAATAGCTGAAATAGGGTGTTTGCAAGAAGAAAGGGATCTGTTTGATGACTTCTTATGTGACTTATAAGAAAAATGACAATTCTGATGGATTTCAAGGAATCTTGCATGACCAGGCATTTAGACCTTCCCATCTCCCTTTCGAAACTTTTCAATCAGTTATTGAAATGTTTGATATTTAGCATGGACTTGTGTGAATGTGTCACTGCTGCTGTATCAGTCACTCTTGCATAAATCCCTCCCTTTGTAGCTTTCTGTGTGTGCAGTATTCTGTGTCCTCAGCACCTGATCCTGAACAGCAATTTCAAGCAGAAGGACAATGTGTGCAAATATCACTGATGGCCAAACAGCTGCTTGTGCTGCCTGGAAGCTGCTGAGCTCCAGTGAAACCTTCCTTGTAGCAATAAAAATGATCCCTGAAAAATGCCAGCATGGGGAAGGTCTTTGGTAACAGAAAGTAGCTCAGTTTGGCCCAAACACAATCCAAAATCTGTAGTTGTACTTAAGTGCAGTTTATCCAAGACATCTTCTGACTGTCTTTTTGTCTCAGAATCCCAGAGGGAACATTCAAGGTGCAGCAGCTAAAAGCCCAAACTGCCTTACAGCTCCTCCTCTCTCAAAGAGCCTCTTCCCAGGAACTCGGGGAAGGAGATTTCCACACTGTAAGTTTGAGACTCACTGCATTCTTAGCATTCTGTTTGCATCAAAATTAATGATTTCCATAAGTCATAAACCACCTGCACAACTCTTGAAATGCTGTGGATGAGCTGATTTCAGCTGCACCAGAGTAAAGCAGGGAGAACCTTAGGGCAGTTGATTGTGGCAATTCCTGGGTGTGAAGTTGGCATCAGTGGGACCTTCAGGATTTTCTCAGCAGGTCCATCTCAGTGTTTCTTGTCACCAATGGAAAAAATAGGGGACTTTATTCATCGTAGAATTGCAATTTATATATCTTTTCATTTCTTAACATGCAAATAACACTAGTTCAAAATTATGCAATCAAAAATAAACTTGTAAATGACAGTTTAGATTAGCTGTGCAAAGGATGGACCAGAATTCAGTAGTTTAGCTTTTTAAGGCCATGTTCAAAGTAGGACAGCATGGAATAAGAACAAAAACAAACAGCTATGATGTCTCCTGCAAGAATATGATGTTTCCTGCAGTATTAGAACTTCCAGGTAATCCATCCAAAATTTCATTAACCTATTTTTACAGGAAATATGCCTGAAGTATCAATTCTTCCAGTAGGATTTCACAACCATTCAGAGTTTATCTTAATGCATCTTAAAATCTTTAAGATCAAGACTTTTGTGAACATTGTCCATAAAATACTGCATTACTTTTTGGCAGAAGGCAGATGATTAATAATTTCAACCCAACATCACATCCCTGTTGTTAGTGTCGTTTATGATATACATTGTAGATTGATCTGCTCAGGAAGATCTTCAAATATTTGAAATAATGTTATCAGAGGAAATCTTGAAGGTACAGCATCCAGTACTCTTGAATTTAAGTTATTTTTCTATACCCCTTTTAGGAAAATATATAAGGGAAAAGGTGGTTAATTATCAGATGGGAAGTCCTCCACTCTCCTGAAAATACAGGATTTATTATCCAGGGATACTAAGTTTGCAAATGCCAACTCATACAGATTGCTTAAAAGGGAAAAAAAGGGGGGAAAAAGAAAATACTTTAAAAATACTGTTCTCAGTAGCTTTTATTCTGCTTGTTCAGCTTTAGTCAGCTCCTCAGTTTATAATCAAAAGCTGAAAACTTAAAGTGAAACCTAAAGTGAAAATTAGCTATATCTATGGAGATTTACATCCATAAATGTGCTTGTTTTGGATATGAATGATATGAATTTATTCTCCATAGTGAAGAGTTCAAAACTATGAAGTAAAGAAATTTTTCCTACTTCCTACTCTGCCCAGTGCAAGAATAACAACCTGCTATTATCTATTTTAGGGAGGGAAAGTGCTGTGGTTTTAGCCTAAGCCAGAGGATTTCCTTTAACTGGGAGCTCTAGCAGAACTTTAGGTGCTGGGACAGAACAGGCTTATCTGCAGAACTCAAGGAATCAAACATCAGTGTTATGTAACTCATACTTCTGAAAAAAAAGCTAAATAAGCACTTCAAATTTCCTTCAGTTTAAATGGAACAGAAATTCTGATACATTTTATGGTAAAGTAGAGACATCTAGTGACTATTTTGTGTGATTCAAATGCAAAGGATTAATGTAGGAGGGGAAAAAACTTCTTCCAAATTCTTGAATATCCTTCTAACAATAGGTACATCTTTATATATAAACTAAATTTAGTCTAGCTTTGCATTACTAGCACTGAGGACAGTTTAGAGCCTCTGTACTAACACAGATCCCTTCCTCATGTTACTTAGTTAAAGAATCTTCCTCAGAACATCTTGACTGCAATCTCAAGCAAAAAATGTCTTTTTCTACTGAACTATGACCTGCCTGCTAAGGGAAGGGGAAGATGCTGGAATTAGAAAGGGAAAGATATTGGAACTGGAAGTGGGCTGGATTAGATGATCTTTAAGCTCTTCCAACCCAAATCATCCCGGGTTTGATTCCTGCTTTGGACAGAAAAGCTCCTTCTGCTCACCCACCTAGATGCTAAATCTCAGCTGCTTACAAATTTCTGCTTTCCAGCTGGTACCTCCACAGTCCTCCTGAAAGGTCAGTCAGGTACTGCAGCACTGTGGGACACTTCACAGTTTCCCATTATATTCCAGCAGCCAAAGAGCACGTTTTTCTAGATTATGGGAGAGAGTCACTTTCTCTCTTTGCTCTCCTCCTTTCCATGAAAGAAGAGGACATTTTGTTTCTTCTCCACTCTGCTGAGACCCCCCTGCAGGGCTGCACCCAGCCCTGGGCCAGCACAGCAAGGACAGGGAGCTGCTGGAGCCACGACAGAGCAGGGACACCAAGGGATCAGAGGGATGGAGCAGCTCTGCTGGGAGGAAAGGCTCAGGGAATTGGGATTGTTCAGCCTGGAGAGGAGAAGGCTTTGGGGTGACCTCACTGTGGCCTTCCAGTGCCTGAAGGCAGCCCACAGGGAAGATGGAGAGAGACTCTTGACAAGGGCCTGGAGTGACAGGACAAGGGGGAATGGCTCCAAAGTGACAGAGAGGAGGTTTAGATGGGATATGAGGAAGAAATTGTTCCCTGTGAGGGTGGTGCACAGAGAAGCTGTGGCTGCCCCATCCCTCAAGGCTGGGGTGGATGGGGCTTGGAGCAGCTTGGTCTGGTGGAAGGACCAGAGGGGCTGGAATTACACAGCCTTTAAAGCCAATTCTAATCCAAACCATTCCATGATTAATGCAGAACCTTTCAGTTACCAAGATTATAAAGGCCCATTCTCAAAACATCTCAGTGATAAAAGCTGAAAACGCCAAAGTGCTCATCCTTCTTCTGTGGCTGGTCCAAGAGGACAAAATATTGCACTCCTTGCCTTTCCACCATGATAACTGCAAAAAACCACATTTTCTGCCTTTATTGAGAAAATCTGAAGATCAACAAAAGGAAGCAAAGGTCAAATTCAGCCCTGGTTTAATTCTGAGCTCAGTAGTGCCCCGGGGATATGAGGATTAGCATGTGGTGTAGAGCTGGTTGAAGAGCAGAAGTTCCTCTGCAAGAAGAATTCAAAGTTTTGGTATCATTTGAAATAACCAGAAACCCCAAAAGCATAGAAAAAAACCCACCAAAATTTAGAAACTTCTATGGGGAGGAAAGTCCAATGAAAAAAGGAAGTGGGCCTTATAGAAGCATTTTTAAACCCAACTTTTGAAAATAATTTTATTCTGTATGAAGTATTTTTTAAAATTAAAATTCAGGAAAACATTATTTCAAAAATATTTAAATTTGTTTTTTCAGCAATATCAGATATTCTTTCTGTTCCTCCCCATATCATTGAACTGTGGAAGTTTAGGAGGAAGTGATCTGATAATCAGAAACCAAAGCAATCTAATAATCACAAAATGAGCAATCTAATAATCATAAATTGATTTTTCTGTTGAAAGACATTTTAATGCCCAGTTGGTTTGAGAAGAATATGAACGTACTCAGCATGTCACCAGCTCAGGCTCTAAATGAAAATTATGTGTGGGTTGAACGTTACAGATAATGAGAAAATTGATCAAAATCTCAGTTTTTATTTGAACATCCACCAAGAGAAGGGAGTAAGAATTGTTTATCAAAAGCTACATGGTGAGAATTTACATTTGATAAAAAAAGGTTCTGATTTCCTTCCGCTCTGCAGACATCTAAACACTTCTGTTGGCCTAATGTGGTGTGATGGGGGGAGGTCACAAATAGAGGCTGGGTTTTCTTCAGCGAGTCCATTTGGATGGCAGAGCTGAGAGCTGAAAGCAGCTTCTCAAAATGGAAAGTGAGGTGCTCTACGCCAAGGTGTCACCCAAGGAAAGAGTGAATTTTATTTCAGAAGATTCAGATACAGGTAAAAAAAAAAGTTTATCTTAATATTACTTATTTTTCTTTTGCTCATTGACACATTCTTAAAACTTTCACTCTTAAATCGTTTGAAAGCAGCTAAAATAATGTGGAAAACCTTTTTAACCATTAATACCCAACTCTATTTGTTATATATATATCTATTGGCATGGCAAACTCATGTTTATTGGTAGAATGAATGCTGAATTCTAGCAAAAGTGAAGATTGACCTTTAAAATCCCATTCTGGGTTTCAGTAAGATGGCTGAATTAGGATCTTTCTTAAACACATGAATGTTCAGACATTGAAGATCTTTATACAGATTACTGGAAACTCACTGATAGCTGAAGTTCACTGAATGGATTTCTCTCTCTTGCAGTCCACTTAGATTTTGTGTTTTAATTTTAATCACTTTCTTAGACACTGGAAATATTTTTAAATTCTAAAGTGATAGATCTGATTCGATTTTCTCCTTCTCTGTCCCTCTCTCTGTGCCTCTTTTTTTCTCTTCTAAAAGTTCTGTGTTGAGAAAAATACAAGTCAAGACTTAATAGAACTTTCTATAATTTTGAAAACTGTTAGTACTGCAATTTGTGTATAACCTTCAATTATAAAACTGCATTGCTTAAAAAAATTATTTTCAAAAAATAATGTGCAAAATAAAGCCATTAATGGATTTCAGTGGGAAATAATTCATGGTTTTAAAACAAAAGTATCAAGTTTTACTTTTTCAATTCTGATCAAAAATAGATTGTTTCTTGTTTAAACCAATTGAGCAGGGAAAATTTATTTTAAATTATAATATTCAGAGGTTCCAATAGGAAAGAAAAATATGTCCTGAGTATGCCAGTAAAGCAATAATTATTCTTAAAAATTAGATGTGTGTATTCACTCATTGGAACAGAGTACAAAAAGCACCTGTACAGATACAAAAATCTTTGTCTTTCACTGTTAACTCAGCTTGCCTCTTAAATTACATGATCAGTTCTCTGCAGAAGAGTTGCCAGGACAATCCTTGGAACTCCAGTGTAGAACTGTCCCCATAGGATTTATTGGAGATGCACCCTCATGCCCAGTACAACTCACTGTGAAAATGTCTCAGACTTGGAGAGTATAAAAGTCTGTTCCATCTATTTTTATTTTTTTCCTCACCTGTCCCTTTAATTTCCAGTTATATGTTATAGTTTTGCTTTCACACAGCTTTTAATTCACTTCAATGAGTCTTGCTTAGAAATTGCTGTATAAATTATATTGAGAGCCCCCTAAGCCAAGATCATACTTCTGAAATTTGCCAATATAAGGTGCTTGGAAATTCAGAATCTAAAAAATTCTAATGGCCAATTATGAGGCTAATTAAGTAACCAAATTTCAGACAAAGTGCTTTTCTTATGTTTTAGAGTATGCCAGCATGGTGTTTAGCCTGTTATAATATTTTAAAAAAATATTTTCAATTGCAGTATCTATATTCTGGTCACTTCTGTGAATCTTGCATCCCTGTTGGTGTCCCAATAAATGCTTTGTTTAAATAAATCCTAAAACAAGGACTTCCACAGGCTGATTGTAATATCTTCCATGAAGAAATACTTCAAATCAATCTTGAATGTGGCACCTATTAATAGCACCAGTGCGTCCATGTGAGATATAGCAGAAAAAAACACCTATGTAATTAATATTTTTTCATGTTCTTATAGGTATAAAATAATATCTATACATTCTTACAATCTTCATCTTCGATTTCTTTGTGTGTTCCATCACTTTTCTACTTGAGAGCACAAATGCAGGAAACCAAACCTTCATCTTGTGCCAGATGATGTTAAATTGTTCTGACCACTCAGCTGTGGCCTGCGAAAGATGCTTAGTTCTGAAAATAGGTTGGATTTGATATTTTTTGTAAATAAATTTTTTGAGATCTAAGGTTGATCTCAGCAGCTCTGGCACCTTTTGGAGGTTGCTTTTCTTCAGGCAAAAAAATACCTGATTTCATACTCTATAAGTGAGCAAAAGTTTTGAAAGTACCTCCTGGGGAATGAGGTGAAACATGCAAAGCAGGCAACCCTGGAGCTTGTGGTGTGTTTCAGTTGATATAAAAATATATCTCCTTCCTTCCTTTGTTCTGCTGCCACAATTACCAAAAACTTCTGGGGTTAGTGACACATTCCACACCTTTGGGGAAGCACACCCTGACAACACTTTTTATGTTTTCTGTTGGTTGCAAAAATCTTGTGACACAGGATGAAGTACTTTTTATAATGGTTGTGACCATATCACACTTTGCTTGTGGTTTATTAAGAAGTAAAGAGGAAAAAAAAAAAAAAATTTAACCAAGAAGGGTTGCCAGTGATTAATTTCTGCCTAAAGATTGACAGAATATATAAATGTGTATGTAGGATATAGAATGACAAGGAAAAAATAGAATTCATAATATATATAGAGTAGTTCAGTGTATGGTAACTGAGAGTCACTTAGAAGGATTTGTAAAATTGTCTAAAATTTAATAAATTAATATTATTTATGTATGTATTATTTATTTGGAATATTGCACTGAAGAACCATTGTTGCAGGAACTCTTCTAGTACTTTGAGCCATTTTTGTCCCTCCAGGTGATCAAGTCACATATGCTGAGGTGAAATGGAGATCTGACAGACCTGACAGCACACCCAAAATTACAGATTCAGGTACGGCAACACCACAGGACACTTCATGTTTTCTCATTATATTTCAGCAGCCAAACATCATCTTTTTCCAGAGTACAGGAGAGAGTCACTTTCTGTCTTTGCTGTAGGTGATTTCAATCAATTTTTCCCTGTTCCCTACTCCTGAAGGATGCTCAGAACATGCTTAAAATTCATTTTGCAGTGGAGGCCCTTGAAAACTCTTTTGTTCATTTTAATAACAATTTCCATGTATTGCTTTTCACTTCCAAATGAGTTTTGGGTGAATGAACAGGCCAAAATTAGTATTTAAAGCAAAACTGATTTACTTTTGGAAAGTAATAGCCAAAAAAGAAATTTCTGAACAGCTTTTTGACAATTCCAGAAAAATTGTGTCTGTCTTTTCTTAAGTTAAAATTTTAAGATACTTTCAACTGTCTCAAACCGTGTAACAAGCCCTTAAAGAAAATTCTGTTCCACAAAGTGAAATAATATATTGGATATAAGTTTTGACTATTGTGTATGAGGTGAAAATGAAGAAGAGAATATTGCATTCGTGTGATGCATAAGAGCAATTAACATATGTATAGAAAAAATGTTAGCCGTGGGGAAATGCTAGTGCAAACAAACGGGGTTTAATTTGGCCTCAAAACAAGGGAAAAGAAACTGAAAGCTTCGGGTGGTTTTTCTGAATAAGAGTGGCAGTCAAGCAGACAAGGGAGTGGGCCAGGTGGACACCCTGTTAAAAAGACAAAACTAATTTACTGGCTTCATTGAAATTACCTATGATTTCATCCCAGTGAATCCAGGCTTGGAATGCAGCATGGAAGGTGTTGTCAGTAATGCAATTTTGATATAGGGCCATTGACCTGTCTGCTTTTGGGTTCCTTTTTACATCCCAGTCCTCAATTCCTCCCTTCCTTTCTCTGATTCTGGCCTCACCATCCAGGTTTTTAGAATGTTGTTCAAAGAATATCGAAATCCATATAAATGCTACTAGGAGAGCTCTGTCCCTTCATATTCTTAACTGGAACCTCTTTAAAACCACAGAAGCCAAATGTTTGTTCTGATTCTTGTTTAGATTGGGGAGCAGTTTAAATGGAAAGTATTCAGGAATGGGGATCAAATGAACACAGTGATCCTAACCAAGAGGAGAAATTGATGGAGGCAAGGATTTAAAGACCAATTAAACAAGTGTGTCTTTATTGTGCTTAAAAATTATGGTAATCTGGGAAGAGTCTCTAGAATTTCAAATTACCTATAAAATCTTTCTTTAGAGCCTGAATGGGACCTTCAAGCTTTCCTTGTGGGTCTTTAGTTGTGTAACCTCAGATAATTAACACAGGGTAGCACAACCACTGCAAACCATTTTCCAAGGAAACGGCAGGGCATATTCCAGGTATTCCATATCTTTAGGTTTCTTCTCAACAGCTGTGATGATAAAATTTAGGACTGTCCAGGAAAAGGTTACTTCTGAGCCTGAAAGAGTGATTTTAGCAGTTACACACAGGTTTGTATACATATAAACCTGTGCAGATACACAGGTGCTGTATCTATAGCAGGAGGCACGATGATTTTTCATGTTCCCATATCTCAGAGCAAAAGCTGCCTTGCTTCTGCCCATGGTGACATCCCTGTCCCTTGTCCCTTTGGCAGTGACCTGCTTGGAGAACTCCCCCTGGTGCTACGTTGTCTTTGCCCTGACCTTCTGTGCTGTGATTCTGCTGCTCATGGTCATCCTGCTGGCAGTGAAATGTTACAGCCTCTGACCCTGCTGCCACACAGGGTAAGCCCTTCCTTCCCTGGATTTCCATACAACACCTTGGCATTCAGCACAGGAGGCACAAGGAAGCTCCCAAACCAAAGGCTGGTATTTTTAGGCAGCCACGATAACACTCACAACAGGTTGAGCTTTAGTTAGAGTTAGCAACTCTAATTCTAGCAGCTTTTGTCTCTTTTATTTCCAGGTAAATCAGCACAGGAAGGTTCTGCTTCTTCAACAAAACGGGACATAGTGCTTGTTTCATTTTACATCATTTTGGCTGAAGAGACAAAATGAAGACATGCCATCAGCCATCCCAGATCTCTGTTAAACCTCTAACCTCTCCATATGTGGACAAGACATATTAATTGGTTTTGGAATTTTCTTAATCCTGTAATACCAGCAACCATCCAACTACATCAGTGCATGTATCAAGACATGGGCTCAAGCTCCTGCATCAAAAGGTGAATTTGGGCCTAGTTTAGACAACAAAAATGACCAGGTGGAGACATACTTTTAATTCACATCTGACTTGATTCTGCACTGATGTGGAATGCAGATAAACTTTTGGATTATATGCAAGTACAATAACTCATGGACAAAACAGGGAATGTGAAAGGTTGCACTGAGCTTTTTTATAAGGCCTGGGCTTTATAAACTTGATTTTTGTTGTTCTCACAGCCTTTACTTAGGTTTGTATGAAATAGATATTGAAGGTTCAAGAAATGAAATGTTAGCAGAGAAGTCTTGGTTTCATCTCCTCATTGGCTTGAATTAAATAATTCTGCTCCACTTGTCCAGAAGAGCATCTCATGATATACTGTTTCTGTCTTGGGGCAGTACTTGATTTTTGTATTTGTTTGGGGTTGTTTTTTTTTCCCCCCACATGCCATAGCTTCAGTTAAAACTGAGTCCTCCACTGGAACTGAGGCACCTGAAATTCAAATGCATTTGTTTGTAATTATGACTTCATTGTCTGTTTTTATATTATTTTTTTATCTTATCCATTATCACCTCTTTGTAGCAGGCTGCAGAGGATTTGCAGACCCAGAGTAGGAGGAGTCTGTATAGCAAATATTTTTAGAATATTTCTTGTATCAAAAGTTACCTGTACTTCAGACGCTGCTGTTGAGAATGTACCCCATCTTTATAATACATATATATGCACAGAAGTCAATAAAGGGATTCAGTAAAGCACTTTTGTGTTGGTTGGTTGGTTGGTTGGTTGGTTTGTTTTCCTCAAGTTTTCTGTTTGTCAGACTGGAGGAAAAATAACATTTAGTATTTGTATGAGTGTCAGTTTTTGTGGGGTAGCCTGTTTAGGGCACACCTGTTTCATAGATCTTGCTCTTACCCTCTTTTATTTTCAGACTTATCCTTGCCCTCCCCTCTTCAAGATAAAAATGTGGCATATAAAACACAAAAAGCCCGAAATTAGACCTAAAACCTGGGCAAAATCAGGAGACTGGACATTTGGTAATATTAGAAATACGAGATGGGCAGTAGAAGACAGTGCAAGGTGAGGGTAACACAAGGCAATCAGTGAAGTGTCAGAACCAAATATGCCAATATTACTTTTAATACTCTTATATTTTTTAATAGATAAATACAACTCTGTCTCAGAGGAAGGGTACCTGACTGCTATTTCCAGGGAGGTCCATTTTTCTTACTCTTCTGCTTGCAAATGTCTTCAGCCAACAGCCCCAGAAGTACCCTGGGTCATACACCTCTCAGATTTCTGCAGTGTGTGATGCTGTGTAGAGAGAAAGAGGAAAAATTAATTGATTTTATGATAATTTCCTGGATATTGGTTTTGTAGCCTATTCCTTTATGAAGTATAAGGAGAGACAGGGAAAAAAGATTTTTATTGATTCTGGCCTTTTCATCATCTTAAAAATAATAAAAGTTTCATGTCAGGCCGCGTAGTTTAGTCAAAAAATTTCTGGGAGGTTTGAGAGGGGCTGATTCCCATTCCCACATCCTGTGCTGTGGGATCTGGACAGGCTGGATAAATGGGCTGAGACCAAAGGAATGAGGCTCAACAATGCTCAGTGCTCAGTCCTGCCCTTGGCTCACAGCAGCTCGAGGCTGGGGAAGAGCCCAGCAGGAAAGGGCCTGGGGCTGCTGGTGCACAGCGTGTGCTCAGGTGGGCAGGAAGGCCAATGGCACCTGGGCTGGGTCAGCAATGGTGTGGCCAGCAGGACCAGGGCAGTGACTGTCCATCCCCCTCAGCCCAAGTGCTGTGTCCAGTTCTGGGCCTGTCACTGCACAGGGACATTGAGGGGCTGGAGCACAAGGCTGATGAGGAGGGGCTGAGGGAGGAAAAGAGGCTCGGGGGCACCTTATTGCTCTGCACAGCCCCCTGACAGGAGGGAGCAGCCAGGTGCGGTCAGGCTCTGCTCCCAGGGAACAAGGGACAGGACGAGAGGACACAGTCCAAGCTGTGCCAGGGAAGGTTTCGTTTGGACATAATACGGATATTTTTCAGGGAAAGGGTGATGAGATATCGGAACGGGTTGCTCATGGAGTCCCCATCCCGGAGCTGCTGGCAAGATGCACGTGGCGCTCGGAGCCACGGTGCGGCTGACACGGTGGCGAGCGATCAAAGGCTGGGCTCGCTCCTCTCCCAGGTCTTCTCCAAGCCGAACGCTGCTGTGACTCCGTGCAGGGCGCAGGCGGCGGGTGCCGGTTTCCCACCGCCGGCGGCAGCCCGGGGCCGCCTCGCTCCGCTCCCGTCTCCGCGGTAACCGGGCGGGGCCGCGCCGCCCCTCAGCGCCAGCGCGGGGCCGGGCCGGACCGCGGCGGGCGGAGCGTCCCGGCAGCGGCGGCGCGGGCAACCCCGGCAGCACCGGCCCTTCTTCTTCGCGGCTTCCCCGGCGGCCCTGCCGGTTCTCCCGGCGCCATGTGCGAGCCCAGCAAGCAGGACATCGTCGCCATCTTCAAGCGGCTCCGCTCCGTGCCCACCAACAAGGTAAGCTGAGGGGCCGGGCCGGGCCGGCGGGCAGCGCTCCGCCGCCGTGACACGTCGCACAGCCGGCGGGGCGGGGGAGGCGCGGGGCCCGCAGCCCGGCACGGCACGGTACAGACAGGCCCGGCGGGTCCCCGGGGTGGCTCTTCCCTGTCTGCCCCCGACCCTCGGGCCGGCATGCCGCATCCCAGGGGATGAGCCCTTGGGGAGGGAGGTGTTGTACCTCAGGTCCGCTCCGCTGGCACATAAACAAGTTCCCAGCCAGCTGCAACGTAGGGTTGAGTGTGTGTTTGTTTATTTTTTTTCTCTCCTGTTTTTATTATCCAACGAAGTGGCACAATGGTAAAAGTTTGTCGGTTTTTAATCCTGTCGGGCTTATCCCGTGCTCAGGTGGGTTTTTCCGCCGTGTGAAGGTGTTTCTGCGGTGTCCTGTGCGTGTGGAGGTGTGGGCTGGCCAGGTGTCGGCATAAGTGCCTTCAGCTGCTCTGTGTTGGCTTCACGCTGTACGCTGAGAACGTATGTGAAATACACACCCACCAGGAAACTTCGGATTAGCCTTACAAAGAAACACGTTGGGTTTGTTTTCTGGGAATAGGAATCCGGATATCTGTCTGTGGTCCCAAACTGACTTCCACTATTTGAACGCAATTCTTTAAGACTGTGCAGAGCTGGTTTCTCAAAGCAGAGCTCAGTGGTGAACGCTCAGTTTCTAACAAAAGTATTCTTAAAACTTGCCTTTGCCTTGGGGTAAAAAGTTTATCAAGGAAAGGTCCTAGTCTCAGCAACCAGGGTGAGAGAAGATGTAATACAGGCTCCTGAAATTCATTGGCACTCTGCCAGAAAATTGAGTAGTTTAGGGCTTTTGTGATGCTTTTTCTGTATTGGGAGCACAGGAAAATTAGGAAGTACTGCCCTGCCTGGCAAATATGGAGTGCCTCGAGCAGTTCCCCTGTGATGGATTCCTTGTTCCTGTAGATTTTATCAGATGGATGTGGTACCTGTGTATCTGTCAGGTGTATATCTCAGGTGTATCTGTCTCCCCATGTCAGATGCCACATAGAAATTCAGTGTTGACATAGCAATACAAGCACAATGTGTGCTGCCACTCACCGTGGGCCAGGGGCAAAGAAGTGGCTGAGGCACAGAGAACTCGATAACAATGCGGTGATGCCCGGTCTGGTTGACCTAAGAAGGCAGAGAGGGGGAGTGGAAAACAACAGCTTAGATCTCACAAGTCTCCCATGTCCGTCTGACTGTTCTCCTGGAGTAGAAGTTGTTTCTTCCATCAGTTTGTCCTCTCGTGTTTGTTTCCTTTCTGTTGTGTTCTGCTTAAGCAGTCTCTCTGCCCCTATTATTTGTAAGTCTTTTTTTTTTTTTTTTTTTTTGGAGAAGAAAGACATGGGAAAGTGCAAATACAGAAAAGGGTTCTGTATTAAAAGCTTAGTGATTTGCATTAACTGTGCAGTTTATAGGTAGAGTTTGGGAAGAGCTGCCTGCTCTAGTCAGGCATGTGCATTTACACTGTTCTGGGTGCTCTGCAGTAGTTCTTAGTGTATGTGAGCTTAGGAAAAAAATGTCATTTAAATAGTTTAATTTGTGGGTTGGAATGTGTTGAAAGTGATGTTTTATAATTGTCTTGAAATTATCATCTGTAATTTAATGCCTGCCCGTTCCCTTTGTGATCAGGTTTTGAGTTCTTGATGTCTTTGGGTGTTCCATAATGTAGAGCTGCCTTATGACAGCAGACTGATGATCAGCTGCCTGATGACTTAACAAACATGTTACAGGTATTAAATAGGATGTATTTTGTACCCATAAAGATGTTCATAGTCCTTAAGCTACTTGAAATTGTCAACTTGAGTGTTTGAGCTTTACAGCTCAGCTTTTTTCATGACTTGCACACTCAGGCTGTGCTGAAAGTCTCTTTTATTCTGTCATAGATCTGTTCCTCTGAAAGTGTTGTTTTTTCATTCTTTTCCACCTGGTTCTTTTCTTTGCTTGATGATGGTATTCCTGGCTCTGCTTGGACTCCCAGTGTGTGTGTTGTGCTGGTGGCTTATCAGTAATTGAGTTTTGTTATTACAGCGTGTTTGGGTGTAGTTTGCGTTTGTGTTGAGTTTTGCCCCAGGATGGACTCTATTATCTTGTGTCCCTTAAGTCATTTTGAGATGACACTTCCAGAATGTGGAAGAGGCAGTCCTTTTGCCTTCCCGTGACAAAAGGAACTGTGGCAAAAGGAACTCCCTTATGCTGGCATTCCTGGCCAGGTGCTGTGCTGTGAGTTGGCCCTACCTTTGCTCTGAGTCCAGTGCTGCTTCCCAGGAATCAGCAGCTGGGATTATTAGTGCTGATGCAGGAGAAGAAGGAAAGCTTATCTGGGGACAGGGGCTGGTGACTAAGAGTTGCTGCTGGGGTTTAGATCACCTTGGCTGAGTGATCCCTGCGTCCTGAATTCCGGCTGGGTTGGTGTTCAGGCAGCTGGATCCACAGCCCGGGAATGGCAAAGTGTGGATGTGCCCTGGGCCAGAGCCCCGTTCCAGGGGAGGTTCAGAGAGCAGGAGCTGCAAGTCTCTGTGTAAGCCTGACCTCAGGGTTAGTGCTCTTGCTGAACCCACTCCCCTCTTCTGCTTGTGCCAAAAATAGCATTTCTGTCAGCTATTTATTGCTGCATTTCCATAGCCAATGTCAATATTTAATTGATTTATTTATTAATGTAGGTGTCTTGCGCAAGGTGGATGTCTTGTGATTTATTGACTGCTTGCTGTGGATGTTACCCAAATCTCTGTGTTTGCTCTTGTACAAACATCTCAGTTAAGTCTTTGGCTGATTTTTTTCCAAAGTGACTCTTCCTGAATCTACACTGTGAAATGTTTTAACACAAAAGAAACAAAAAACGTGCAAGTATACTTTGAAATCACTATATTATTTAAGCATATCCTTCAAATATATTTTTAATAAATACTTTAATATTTTAGTTACACCTAGATCTGTACACAAAATACAATTTGTCTGTTTTTAAAATGGAAACAATTATATGGGGTGGCTCTGAAATTGATTTTAACTGCTTCCCCCTGATTCTTCTTAAAATTTATGTGGTGGGAAGCACTTTAAAAATTGAGAAAACTAAGCAAAATTAGTCTAAATGTTAATGAAACATGCATCTATTTCTGTTGCATAACATTGATGGAAATAGCAGTTTCTCCTTTGTTTTCAGAAGAAAATTGGATGT